CAAGTTCAAGTTCAAGTTCTTTATTACTTTAAGTCGGTTGACTTATCAGTCATAACATATATACAAAACAATACAGAGACAACATACAATATGATACACACACACATACACACACACACACACACACACACACACATACACAATTCAACTTTTATTCCTTAAGTTTGACAACTTATTGGATAACTATACTTTACAATAAATTACAAATGATATATACGTATATGTATTGTGCCATCAACACTCATTATCACTCCCACATCATTATTGTGCATTCAACAATCATTAACGCTCTCACATCATCATCATCATCATCATCATCATCACCATCCTCTTCATCATCATCATCATCATCAGCATTATTAACATCTGACATTAACAACAATTATTAACACACTGTCGACTAGGCAGTGTCGGGGAAAATACGTCTCAACAGGCAATTACCATGTCGTCGGCAGCTCCCTGCACACATCTCGCTATTGTTTGGTGCACAGTTAGTAATTTCAAGACATTTCATTGTAGCCTTAGCGAGGCCATGTGGTGCATTTCAGAATTATATTTAGCTCTGCACACAGGAAATGAAAACACAAAACCTCATAAATTTGAAATTAGTTATTATTGTTGACATATAATGGTGATGTGATCATAGATTACAAGAAACACAATACCAGCTGTTGTTACCTTAGGCCTGTGTGTGCCGCTATATAGTACCAGCCATTTTCTCTCTGTATGGTAATATATTATTTATATCAGACACATACTGTACACTGTGAAACTTTAGCCCAGTCGAATATTCATCATCTTTAAAATCCATATTGTCCGTGTGTATATTTTGTTCTGTCCACGTTATTACAGTATGATGTGTACTCATATTTGCTTTCATGATAAATTTGCCATCATTGTGGATGGCGAAAAATATTACACTCTGGTGAAAATTGTTCTGGTATACAGTAATAAATACTTGTATATAAAATGTCATGTTGAATGAAAGTATTCAATATTAATTATTTGACTAATGGTTTTTTTTTTGTATTTTGTCATTGCAGGGAACAGATTTTAAGGGTAAAAAACGATGACAACATTCCTTTTTTATTGGTGGGAAACAAGTGTGATTTAGAGGACAAGCGCCAAGTAACGATAGACGAAGCACAGACCCGAGCTCAACAGTGGGCAGTTCCCTACGTTGAGACGTCCGCCAAGACTCGCGCTAATGTAGATAAGGTGAGTTCGCCACAAATACAGGCTAACTAATTATTTTGAGAACTGTTTCGGCAGAAATGGTACCCCAGTAAACAGAATTCATTGAAACCAACCTTTATAGACTAGGATGGGATAAAGTCATGCAACAAGTTACTCTCACTGAACACTAGCATTTGATGTTATCCATAAAAAGCAGACTTCTAAACAGTCAATATTTCCTTCCTCACCATGTATACCATTGCACCCCCACTGTATATACCATATTAATCCATTTAGGCAGTGACAGTTCCAGGCAAGGCCACTTTACTAGCGTGAAGGTGAAATACAGACTTACCCTTTATATAAGACTGGTGTGATACTGTTTGCCAGGAAATGTCCACCCAATTAAATTTTGATATAGCAGTAAACTCATCTCGGTAGTACACAGTTATTTTATAAGTTCTGATTTCAGTATATCGTAAAGCATATGTGTATACGTATGATACAGGTAAGAATAATTACCAACTACCTACTGGTATAGCTGATGGATAACTACAGTACAATATACACCTGTATCCTGGCTATGTGTAGTTAGATCGTGATACCTGTTCTAATAAGACCTTTGCCTTTTCAAATTGCAGTGTTCATTCCAGGAACATGTACAGTCCACAGATAATTATGTATTTGGTATTTTTAGTAAGATATATGATTTGGTGCTGATAACTTTGTAATAAACTCAGAATTTCCAAAAAAATAAATTGCCCTGTATTTACAGTACATGTGTATACAGCATGGTTCGCACAGGTCTTGAAAAACCCTTGAATTTGATGTCCTGTCTTGAAAAACTCTTGCAAATGACTGTAAGCCTTGAAAAACCCTTGAAAATCAATGGGAGTCCTTGAAAAACCCTTGAAAAGCAGTGAAGATAGGTGGGTATCCGTTTCTGTCATGTTAATTCATTATTTTGTAAACATTTGTCGCAAACAATAATGATTTTTAACACAGATTGATCGTCAAATTGCAGATCGTAATTTTTAATAATTCCGGAAAATATATACCGATGAAGTTTCCGGTTTTACCTTTTCAATTTGTGTCATTACTGCGTTTGAATTGAGTAAGTCTCGTAGTGAGAGCGCCAAAGTGACAGATGGTCATGCACATTAAGAGTATTGTTAACAGGAGGGGAACACAAACGGAACAACTGCGATGGGGAAGTGTGTTTTTAACCGCAAAAAATGGCTTAATGATCCTAGAATTTTTTTAGGGGTGAGGGAGTTCAAGGGTGATAGGACTTCTGCTTTGTGCTCGCTGTGTAACAGAATTATCGATCTTGGCAAGATGGGGGAATACGCCCTTACATAACATATGAAAAGTAAAAAAACATGTGAAAATTTCGGGGATCACTTTGACTCGGCCTTTGGCAGACTTTTATACCAAACCCTCTACTTCAACGGCAAGTACATTGAGACCTACCTCGACTGTTCCTAATCCAAATCCAAACACGGATGCCGATGACTTTCCTTCAATCCCATCCCCTCAAGGCCTTGTTGTTCATTAAAATTGTTTGTTTAATTTGCAATATAAATTAGCCCTTGAATTTTCAAAATTTGTCTTGAAAAACCCTTGAAAAGTCCTTAAATTTTGAGGTCAAAAGTTTGTATGAACCATGTACAGGAGATTGTTGTAACATTTCTTCAGTCCTGATCACTGGTTCAACCTTCTGTAAGGTTAGCTATCTGTACTTGTGTGATGAGGTGTTATAGTAAACTGAATAAGTATCCTGTTTGGCTGTACGATGTCAAGTTTAAGGAAATGCCTGGTAATTCCCTGCTGACTGTGATTGCTGTATGGGTTCCCTGCTAACAGAGATAACCAGTGTACAGTCTTGTGTTAGGTTGGGGGTTCCTATCAGAGCCAGAAACTGCCGCTATCTTATCCAGGATATTTCACACAATTTAGCAAACACCTGAACTTAAAACAGATTTTAGTTTTTAGGTGAATATAATACATGATATATCTTGACAGTTGTCGGGGAATCTTTCTTTACTAAAACAAAATTGGATTTTGACTTATGACATTTATTTTTGCAGAAATTGAACCTGTAGGACTTTAGTGTGACCATGAACTCCCTTCCTTGTACATCTACATAAACACAATATAGAACTGGCTTCTCTATTAAAAGCTCATTTAGGAAACAAGTTTTAGTGTATTTCTATTTTTGGGATAGTTATACTACTAGCTAAATAAGATGTCCCTTTGGGCCTCTTGGATGAGTAACTAACATGAATAGGTTATAATAGTAAGAAGATCTCTATGTAAAACAGTCCTTTGGGCCTCTTGAGGGGCTTGTTGACATGTACATGTTATATATAGTTAGTCAGTATGTAAGACGGTCCCTGTTGGCCTCTTGAGGGACTATATAACATGTACATGTACATGTTATATATAGTTACATTGGGTATGTAAGACGGCCCTGTGGGCCTCTTCTTGCGGGACTTGTTGACATGTACATGTTATATATATAGTTACAGTCTGTATGTAAGGTTGGCAGCATGCTAATTGATGCATTAGTGTTATCAACAGCACTGATCCTCTTGTGTCCTGAAGTACAGGATGGAGAATGTATAGTGTTGTATGGTGCCACCATCACATCAAAGTTTGATTCTCACTTGACCTGTTGCTACACTATTCTAGTAAGACAGTTGTTTTTTGGCTCCCTACCAGAAATAGTAGCTATAGTCTGTTTCCCATTCATGAAACACTAGTTTATCTAAAGCGTATTTCTAGAAAGCAAAACATACACAAATGTTATCCCCACCCAAAACACAATGCTCATAACTTATTCATGAGATCAAAACATTTAGGCATCCATATATATGCTATTTACCGCAGCTGACGTTTATTTGTGGTGATGATATTTTGAACACTCAAATTTCATCTGTTATAATATGACACTTGTAGATATCATATCATTAGCTAGCATGTTTGGAGGCTGTATCAAGTGATCAGTTAATGTGGCAGTTGTTATTGTCTAAAATATATTTGTCTTGTACCACAGGTGTTTTATAAATGTACAACATTGTAATATTGAATTTTCATGCTACTTTTTGAAACTACTTCAAAAATTCACAGCTACACAAGTAATGGAATGAAAAAGATCACATTTATACAAGGGAATGAGTGTGTTCATCTCTCAGTGCTCTTCATAAAGACGATCAACACAGGGCAGTAGAGTCATTTATTGATTACAGGTATTAATGTTTTTACTGCATGCAAGTATTGACAGATGTTATAGAGGGAGGGAAGTTAACGACCCACAGCGATATGCAGGCCGTTTGTTTTATAAGCAGTGAATCTCACTGTAAAGGGAACAAATGTTCACCGAGTTGTAGGATAATCTCCTGCTCTTCGTCAGCCCACACATTAATACATGCTATTGAACATGTTCCCTTATCTTCCCACTAGTTATTATGGCAGTGTTGATCATAAAAATGTCATGTTGATTAGATTTGGCCGAAAGCTGCTGAAAATTATTTAAAACAGACAATCTGATGGATTATATCTTGTAACAGGTTTATAGAGACTCATATTGACACAAATAAAACCAGAAAATATATGTTGGTTTGGTCTAGACAAAAATACATTTAGAAGCATGCCTTCCAAAATGAACTCTAAGTTGGCGTGCAGCTTCTATGAAATGTACCTCCAGGAAGGTAGGATACCGTTTAATTTTCATTTTTTTATATTTATTATTATTTTGACCTGAAATGGTATTTCAGTCTTTAAGTTGAGCCGAATTGATACATGTATATTGGACACACCCAGGAAGTTCTCGGTGCAGCCAAATGCTCAGAGATTTGGTGGTCTCATATTAAACTGGAATGACCAGCTGAAGGATATCGACTGCCTGTTTAAGTCAGGCTTGGGATATCACACACACAAACTCTGTGTTGGGTGTGGAATCCTGTGTTAGGGATTTGATCAGCTTCCAATACCTTGCCCTTTGAACCAGAAACGTTTTCTTTCAAGTCGAGCAGCATGTATTTCGGTGCATGTTGTTTACATTGGCACAGCACTCCTCTACACACAGATCTAACCCTGCATGTCTTATTCATCGTTTGTCTCCATTTAAAATGATCGAGCATTTTCTCCTTTATTTTTTGCAAATGACTGCAATGCTATGCTGATGAAGACATGATCCTGTCTCCATTTAAAATCATTGAACATTTTTGCAAATGACTACGATGCGGTGCTGAACGAAGGCATGGTTATGTCAGTGTTAAATTTCCTTTAATTATCAGCACTTGCATCAAACCGGTAGCATTTTGTCTTCAATCAATCCCGTAAAGATTTAACTGCAGTCAATGACAACAGATCAGACCAATCAAATGGTGTTTGCTTGGTTACTCCATTGCCAGAACCTTGTTGCATACATGACTTTGTTGTTGTCTCAAAAATTAAATCTATAATCAAGTATGTTTCAATGTTGACTGTAGAATCTTGACTCTAGAATTTGTTTTGCTTTGTTGGCTGAGATGTAAAGTGCACGTTTATTTTTTGTTCTGCTAATTATTTCCATTATTCTTGCATTGTTTTCTTTCTTTGATTTCTGTACTAATTAATTTTCTATTGTATATCTTTTTAATTCCAACCTAATACATAACATGCAAGACTTGTTTTTATTTTCTCCTGCTTTGATTTCATCTGTTTTTCCATTTTGTGTTCTGACTTTACTTTTCAGAGTTTCTATGATTTATTGCGCATCTGTAAAAAGTGTAAACTTGGGATATCTAGTCGAAGTGGGCGTGCGACCTTCAAGAAGGTTGATGGTAAACGGGAGAGCGTCATTCAACTGGAGACAACCCCTTACCCAAAGTCTGACAAGGGCTGCTGTGTACTTCTCTAGCTCAATACACCATAGACAACACTTGGTTTTTTCGTTGTTTTTTTTACTATATAGGACAATAATTATATTCAGTAAATTGTGATATTTCTTAAGCAGCAGCTTTAATATACATATATTGAAATTAATGACAAAACTTTCATCAAATATCATACATACAATACATTAGTGTTTGAGGTACAGATAGTGTTAGGCATGTGGAATTCTTCGTATCACAAATCATTACTGGGATACTAAACATGGATTTTAATGTTGCAGTAAGTATGATTTTAATATCCCTACACTCAGATGTAGTCCTGCCTAGTTGACACAGACACATTGGATTATTGAAGCCCTGCTGTATTACCCTGTCCGATAAACAGATCATTGAAGCCCTGCTGTATTACCCTGTCCCATCAACATATCGTTGAAGCCCTGCTGTATTACCCTGTCCCTTCAACAGATCATTGAAGCCCTGCTGTATTACCCTGTCCCACCAACAGATCATTGAAGCCCTGCTGTATTACCCTATCCCAAGAACAGATCATTGAAGCCCTGCTGTATTACCCTGTCCCATGAACAGATCATTGAAGCACTGCTGTATTACCCTGTCCCTTCAAATGATCATTTAAGCCCTGCTGTATTACCCTGTCCCATCAACAGATCATTGAAGCCCTGCTGTATTACCCTGTCCCTTCAACATATCATTGAAGCACTGCTGTATTACCCTGTCCCTTCAACTGATCATTGAAGCCCTGCTGTATTACCCTGTCCCTTCAACTGATCATTGAAGCCCATCTGTATTTCATTGTCCCATCAACAGATCATTTAAGCCCTGCTGTATCACCCTGTCCCTTCAACAGATCATTGAAGTCCTACTGTATTACCATGTCCCATCAACACTTTTCCTTACTCCCTAAACCTCCCCATTGATCTAAACCTGTAATGTGGCATGCCATGTTGAGGAAAGGTGAAGCCCTAATGCCACATAACTTGTGGAAGCACAGATCAATTCCTGAGGTAGTTATACGATCTCCACACCACCTATCCAGACTACTCTGTCAGTCTCTGCTGTCTCCAGCTCATCAGTAGTCCCTCCGTCCCCAGCTCGTCAGAAAAGCTGCACTCTGCACTAACCTGCAGGTCTAACAGACATGAGTGGATCGATCGGTAGAGTTGTAAAGCATGGTAGTTCAAAGGGATGCTGAGTACTGCACACATATTAATGCTTCATATCTTACATTAGATATGCAAAAAACACAATCTGGGGTTTAAATAATGGATTTGCTGTTGATTTTTTAAGTGAACTTCTGATATTGTACTGTTGAGGTCAAACAAGACTGGACCATGGCTGTATAGGTGCTACTGTTATAGGTTTTACAACATTGGGGTAAGACCCAAACCCACTGACTGAATTGTCTGGTCACAGGTACTAGCCTCTTCTGGCAATACACCTATAATATAATCTATATTATAGGTGTATTGTCAGACGAGGCTAGTACCTGTGGTCTGGGTGCTATCACAAATTGTTTAACTCTTTCACCCCTATGTAATTTTAATAAACTCTACCATGTATTGATATGGATAAGTCCATTATGGTCTACAGTGGTGTAAGGGTTAAGGGCCAGTGTGGAAATCTCTACAACTAGGTACCATCTTTAGGTGAAACCTGAGTGATAGCCCCATAGCTCCAGGCCTAGATGATGTTGACATCAATACTTTGGGTCATTGAAGCTCAGCTAGAAACCCACCCACACCTTTACTGACTCCACTATAAGCTCAGCTAGAAACCCACCCACACCTTTACTGACTCCACTATACGCTCAGCTGGAACCCACCCACACCTTTACTGACTCCACTATACGCTCAGCTAGAAACCCACCCACACCTTTACTGACTCCACTATACCTCCGCAGTCATCCAAGTCTATGGGGAATGTTCAAGAAATTTGAAGCCCTAACACAACATAACCTGCCTGGTCACAGACCAATACCTGCAATCTTCACACCTCCTATGCAGAACACTTATAACCTATTTTCAGGACTAGTTTCAAAATCATCATTCTTGCTGTTCCGTTAAGTTTTGAATTCATACTGTTGAAAAACTTCTACAAATAACGGGAAAAAAATTGAAGTCAATTTGTTTTACAGAAACTTTGAATCACATTTCAAAGACATTTGTTGTAAAAATTGAAAAAATAAGGGTAATTTTAACAGATTGACTAAACCTAAATTGTAAAGCAATCATTTCTGTCTGAAAATATCAGCGCTCACATATATGTTCCAAGATCTTCCAATCACCTAACCATTTATCAGATCCTTCGTGGCAGTATTATGTGTTTTCAGACCTGGTTTATCAAATCATAGTGTGTTAATATTCTCTTGCTAGGCTTGCATGCTCCCATACAGCATGCATGTGCATCCTATTTCAGAGCTATCGGGCCATCCCCAAGAACCATGCGGCACCATGCACCGTCTGCCAGATTATATCTGCGTAAAAGTAAAATTGTATATTAAAAGTGTTGTGCTATCTAAACACGTGGGAGGTTTGTGTAGACGTGAGTACAATGGAAGGCTAAAGTAAACAGCTCCTGGGGTCCAACTGTTTCTCAAGGGAAGGTCTGGGTGCTATACAATGTTGATGACAACATTTGTTTGTATTGATAATAAAATAAATATGTACAACATTAAATGTGTTGGGGTCGACAGACAGGATGCTATTATCTCGAAAGTTGTTTCCCTGAGTAGAATGAGAAATCATCACCACTAACCTTTTATGGTACACTTAGATAGAAATGGGAATTTTGCTGATTTTCATCTAATCAGATTGTTGATGACTTGACTTGACCTTGCTTCATTCTAGGATTAATTTTACCCCTAGTTTGATTTGTCTACAAGCTAACTATTTCCAAAATTTCAAGGGATATCGAGGACACATCATCTTTGATGTTAACAGGGACACATGTTTGGCTATATAAAGTACTGCTGAGATTTGTGTGTAGAAGTTACCTCCCTTGAATTATTTTGCTTGACATTATAATCATGATGATGATATTTTCAAAAGTTTGAACAAGTGTGAACTACTATTCACATTAGATTGTCTGAATCTAATTTTATAGCCTTCATCAATATTATAGACATATATACCATAGTAAGCTATAAGAATAAAATAAATGGGAAAAGTGGGACGGTCGATGGTGCAACTCACAGCTAGTTTTGAAAAATCTGTGGTAAATGTTCTACACCTCAGTGTATCAAATCTTTTGAGTTTTGGATAACACTCAAATAATTTTAAGTGTATGTTAAAGAAATTTGTAGACATGAAATTTTGATAGTTCACAGACATTTACTCCAGCCTTATTTCAATTTTAGAAGAAGCCAAGTGTTCTCAACTTCATGCCCGACTGATCCAGAAAAAAAGGAAATTTTGTTTTAATTTGTATGATTTCATCACATAGATCCATTCCATGTTCTCCAGATTGTTGGTAAAATGCCAGCATATGATTTTTGCAGAAAGATTTATCACATGATGTAAATGGGCTAGTTTTGGGTTTTCCCAGTAGATACCACAGCTAATGATACTGTGACCAATGTAGGGTAAGGCTTGCAGCCATTCTCCTGTTTACACAGATACACAGACCGAGTTATGTTTTTTACTCCCTGGGTTCGGAAGACGGTCAGACTATGTCTCACATATATGATACGTCTATATGATATCTGTTAATATTTAACTATTTTAAATGGTTTCTTTAGCCTCTTTTGTTTCACAATTATAACTAATACTATTATCCATATGTTGTAAAGCGCTTTAGAGTAATTTTACAAATTTATATTATTATTATGTAGAAAACATTTCAAGGTGTGCTTGCCTAAATGTTGAGAAGCATACCCAGTGCCTAATAAGACCGTGGTTACCCTAGACTAGGCTCACACTAGTCAATCGCTTCTTCATTATTAACAAGATATTTCAGGGCTGCACAAATCTTTTGCCTGGCCGGCATACTTATAAAATTAATGATAAAATGAAATCGCGGTTGGATGAAATCTGAAGGAATCTTAACAGATATGTGTAACATTCCTTTATAATGTTCTCTTCAATTAATGTAGTTTTATGCCAAAATCAGTTGAAATGGGATGTTAAGTCATTAATCAGAACTTGAACTGATTGTGTATCTTTTAAATTCTCAGGTGAACATATCAGGGGGTACCAAGGAAACACACCAAGTCCGAACATATGCTCAGACATTGACGACTGTTTATGCGTAATTAGTGAAATAGTGTTTTCGAACATTTATGATGGTATAAAGTGAGTTGAAACATTTTCTCCAAGATGGATCTGCTGCCAAGCAAATTTTGTGACTCTGCAAGTTTCCTTAGTGCATCCCTGTGATGTTCTCCTGAGAATTTGATACCCTGCAAAAGATCTTGGAGAAAATATTTGTACAGTATTGCATACCATTGTAAATTTTACCAAGATGTTTTTCAATCCAAATTATATTTATGTTAAAACAAGCAAAAAAATGTATATAATATTTCTGGGTGATTACTTTTGGTTCATGATGAATTTCAAATCAACTGTTTTATTAAATTGTGGAACAGACAATTTTATCGGAAAGTGTTGTGTTTTCTATAGTTGTCATTTCTGTCAGGAGACACATGAGAATTTCAGTCCTTAATTAGTTTGTTACATTTCGTCATGATTACCACCCGTTTAATTTCAACAGTATGACAGAAAGACCAGGTAATACTAATGAGTAATAATTCTAGCTTGGTAGGTTTATCATTAGGCCTGAACAACAAAGGAACAAAACAATAACCAATCAATCATCGTTATCTTGACTGATATTAAAAAGTGGAAATATTTTACGAATCTCGGTTACTTACCGGTCTGTCCTTTTCTCATTGCAGGTATTTTACGATTTAATGAGGGAAATCAGATCACGGAAGATGGAGGCAATTCGACAGAGCAATGGAAAGAAAATTCGCAAAAAGGAGAGCAAGAAAAGGAAGTGTACCATTTTATAAGGTGAAAGTGTGTTAGGGAGACCTACTGGTTTTATAGAGTATCATGACACATGACCAAGTCGCCGGGGAAGGAAGGGAGGCTACTCTCATTCTACATCTGGAGTGGGAAACAATTAGTCTACATTGGAAGATATATTCTTTGTCCCTTTGACTATCCTCTTTCAATCCCCACATTTTAAAATCTTCCTGTGGTGATTGATTGTGTATTCCAGATATCTCTGATGCTGTGTATAAAGGGAGACTATCCTGTTTTATGTGTTAAGGGCCCATCTCTTAATCTGAAGGAAGGGGGATAACTCTGACAGATGTTTTTACTCAACTATAACCCAGTGATTGTAACCCTGTACCGATGTGTGTACTAAAGTTTACGAAGTGTCTACCATTTTTGTGCTCAGTTTAAAACCAGGTCAGTGTTGACTTTACTTTTGTGATGAGACTTCTGTTTGTGATGTGGGACTCCAGGAAGAATCAGATCTGATGGTGACATCCAACAAACTCGCCCTATATTTTCTCCTCATACGCAATCCTAGAAATTTGATAACATGTTTCACTTTTACAACCCAGCCAGAAAAGTCTCAACCGGTGCAAAGAGAGACAACTCTGGTTAGCTTGAAAGAGTATGCACCAACACACGGACGAGGACTTCATACACCAGCCAACAGAGACAGGTGTATTAGTGACACACGGACACAGACAGTTCATTGTCCCTTAAACTATCTGCTATAAATTTTAAATCCAGACTCCCCTCCTCAGTCAAGACACTTAGGTATGATGACATTGCATCTATTTCTTACTCAAGAGGATTGAACAACCTACTACCAGCAAAAAATTTGGTTTTTAAAGCATGAACAAAGCTATTATGTGGTAAAATCGGACTGACTGAAAGTTTGAGAACACATTGATAATGATATTTAACAGGAACTGAGAACAAACACTGATTTATTGTGGTGGTGATGATGTACTGTATAGTGGCTTATCCTCTCAAGGCTTTTATTTACCTGAAATTACCTTGTAAACCTATAATTACCTAGTAAATGTTTTGACCTTCAGGGTATTCATTGAAACTTCGCTAATTCTCCTTTTTGTTTTCTTGGTAAATGCTTACGAAAGTTTATAGTATCACACATAAAATCACTTGTGATTCCCAAAATTCAACATATAAGCGTAATAAATCCTGTAAAATTGTGAATTTGTACACCACCATACGTCCTTTACACCTCCTTACATTTTGTAAGTGTGAGAACCTGTAGTGTTCATACATCCCCTAACAGTATCAGAGTTGCCAAGTCTCTGAGACTGACTCACGCTGAAACATGTCTCACGCCATGCAAGCCATAAATCTCACTCATTTGAAAATCAGTCAGTATGTTAGTGTGACAAAAAATTGTTCCACCATTGGAATTCTGAGTAACTGTAATGGCTTTAGTTTGACCTCTAAATCCTACCAAAGTTCATCTGAATTGAATCACAGCAGCTTTTAATATATTGTCTCCTGTGTCAATGATCTCAGTAGGTTAAAGGTCAAACTGGAAGTGGAGGGGAATCGGATCTGGATCATGCATAGTTACAATTATCCATGTCATTGCTTAAAGCTGAGAGCTTGACAGCTTCTTTTATATCAGTGACATGGTCTCTGTTATGTACCATGAAGCATGTAAATGGTGTTGCAAATAGATTTCAGACCTAAGTCATATATACATTTTAAACTATTTTATCTACATGTTTTTCATTACATCTTGAGTATATGTACCCATTGAAAGGCTGAGTCATGTATAGTATACCCTGTCTTGTCAGCTATGTAATCTGTAGGTTTTACACCGCCACTGTAAACTTGAATCTGTCTTTGTGAAGGTCATTCTGAGCCTCTTTTTCTCAAGTCAGGCTGAAATAATCTTCTAACTCAGATTTATGTCAGAGAATGTGTATGTGGTTTTGTGTTCAGGGTGTATTCTGGTGTACCCTGTCATGTTATGGTGTACCTTATGATGTTTGGTGTACCCTCTGATGTCATAGTGTACCCTGTGATGTCATGGTGTTCCCTGTGATGTCATGGTGTACCCTGTGATGTCATGGTGTACCATGTGATGGTGTACCCTGTGATGTCATGGTGTTCCCTGTGATGTCATGGTGTACCCTGTCATGTCATTGTGTACCCTGTTATGTCATGGTGTACCCTGTGATGTGATGATGTATCCTGTGATGTCATGGTGTACCCTGTGATGTCATGATGTACCCTGTGATGTCATGGTGTACCCCATGATGTCATGGTGTACTCTGTGATGTCATGGTGTATCCTGTGATAGGATGGTGCACCCTGTGATGTCATGGTGTACCCTGTGATGTGATGATGTATCCTGTGATGTTATGGTGTACCCTGTGATGTCATTGTGTACCCAGTGGTGTCATGGCGTAGCCTGTGATGTCATGATGTATCCTGTGATGTCATGGTGTACCCCATGATGTCCTGGTGTACTCTGTGATGTCATGGTGTATCCTGTGATAGGATGGTGCACTCTGTGATGTCATGGTGTACCCTGTGATGGCATGGTGTACCCTGTGATGTCATGGTGTACCCTGTGATGTCATGGTGTACCCCATGATGTCATGGTGTACTCTGTGATGTCATGGTGTACCCTGTGATGGCATGGTGTAACCTGTGATGTCATGGTGTACCCTGTGATGTGATGATGTATCCTGTGATGTTATGGTGTGCCCTGTGATGTCATTGTGTCCCCAGTGGTGTCATGGCGTAGCCTGTGATGTCATGATGTATCCTGTGATGTCATGGTGTACCTCGTGATGTCATGGTGTACCCTGTGATGTCATGGTGTAACCTGTGATGTCATGGTGTATCCTGTGATGTCATGGTGTACCCTGTGATGTCATTGTGTACCCTGTGATGTCATGGTGTACCCTGTGATGTCATGTTGTACCCTGTGATGTGATGATGTATCCTGTGATGTTATGGTGTACCCTGTGATGTCATTGTGTACCCAGTGGTGTCATGGCGTAGCCTGTGATGTCATGATGTATCCTGTGATGTCATGGTGTACCTTGTGATGTCATGGTGTACCCTGTGATGTCATGGTGTAACCTGTGATGTCATGGTGTACCTTGTGATGTCATGATGTATCCTGTGATGTCATGGTGTACCCTGTGATGTCATAGTGTACCCTGTGATGTCATGGTGTATCCTGTGATGTCATGGTGTACCCTGTGATGTCATGGTGTACCCAAATGATGTCTGTATAAAACTGTTCCTGGTACTGTACCAGCAGTTTTACATTCGTGTATTATTTCCTATGAGTGTCTATTATACTGTGATGATGCGTTACTGTGCATGCCTTTTGTTGTGTAGGTTGAACTACACATGCCAGTAGTGGCACCAGGCATGCTTGCTATATCTGTACCTCAACCATATTCACATGTTAGATATTATTATGTGCAAATAGAACAGTGTCCTTCAACTTAGATATATAAAAAAAAAAAAAAAAAAAAAAAAGTGAGCAATTCTTCATATAAGACATATGATCTGGTAAATCAAGTACAGAACAGATTTGGTATAAGTCAACAATACATATATGATACTCTACCAAACATTGCTCCAGTAGTTAGGGTAACAGTTAACGTTATATCCAGGTTTGAGGACACTGTTTCAGTGCTGCCAACGAAGCTATGATAACGTATGAGCGGGCTTCAAGTCGTTAAGGCCTTTTATTTGTGTATAAGTTATTAGAATTACTTTATTTTAAGTGCAACAATCTTATCTTTGATTTTGAGCCGAGTTTGTATGCTTATCTTTGAAACTGTATGGCAAGTGTGTGTGGTAGGTATGTATATGACAGGTTTGAGAATGTGTGTGTTTCGGCTATGATTGTTTCAGAAGTGTGCAGTGTGTGTGAGGTGCTTGGTATGGTGTCAGAAAGGTTCTAGCTTGATGTGTGTGTGTCGTTGTGGGACTGCTAGAATTAAATGTATGTGCATTACCAAATATGGAGATTTGTTTTTGCAATATGTACGCATGCGTAATTCTGTACTGTATACATCGTGTGGGGAGCATGGGTTCTATCTGATCCTCTAACATATATTTAAGGGTCTGTAAACATTAAACCAACTGAACGTAATATAAGCTCATACTTGGGTATCTTCAACTCAAAAACGATAAAACATTTTTTGGCTTTGGGATGTCAAATTCCGACCATAATATGTAAGTATCAGAATATTAATAAAGCAATGATTTTTACATGTGAATTTATTTTGATTACTAAGAAGAGTATCATAGAAAAATTATACGAAGAGAAAGCTGACTTGAGGTTAAGTACCTGATCAGTAGATAGGGTTAGATCCCAGACCCCACACGATGGCTACAGTGTTTTACAGTGGAAGACTGTGAGTCGGCCATTGTCACAGGGCTAGCCCTGACTTATATTATATTACACTGAAGCTTACTATAAGATTTTGTATGGACTGACCAATGCCATAACTATGTACATGAATGTATAATTATTTTATACCAATATAATAAACAATCTCTGAACTTTGTTTTACAGGATATTTTTGAGTTGTAAACGGTCGATTTATCAGTTAGTTAATTTTCAATAAGTCAGATTCTATATCCATTTCACTCATTATTAATAATTATAAGTGTGCATGAAATAGACGTAAGCTAAAACTATTAAACCTTCATAAAAAAAAACATGTGTTGTGTTGTCTATTTTGAAAATGAACTGACGATATCTCATGATTTAGACTACATTGTAAATCCTATCATAGTGCTGTATCACATTTTTGTCAGCCTCAGTGGACTAATGTTCCTGGTGCTGATGCTAATACATGTACCTTACGTCCATGTTTGCACCAGTACCTCTGGTGGCTGTGCATTTTGTACTTCAGGACGTTACCACCATGTTGACACCAGTATCTGTGCTCGTTAATTTTCTGTACTTCAGGACATAACCATCATGTTGACCTAGAATCTGTACTTCAGGACGTTACCGCCATGTTGACACTAGAATCTGTACTTCAGGATGTAACCACCATTTTGACCTAGAATCTATACTTCAGGACATTACCACTATGTTTACATTAGAATCTATACTGCAGGACGTTACCACCATGTTGACACTAGAATCTGTTCTTCAGGACGTTACCACTATGTTTACATTAGAATCTGTACTGCAGGACGTTACCACCATGTTGACACTAGAATCTGTTCTTCAGGACGTTACCACTATGTTTACATTAGAATCTGTACTTCAGGACGTTACCACCATGTTTACATTAGAATCTATACTGCAGGATGTTACCACCATGTTGACACTAGAATCTATACTGCAGGACGTTACCACCATGTTGACACTAGAATCTGTACTTCAGGACGTTACCACTATGTTTACATTAGAATCTGTACTTCAGGACGTTACCACCATGTTGACACTAGAATCTGTACTTCAGGACGTTACCACCATGTTGACACTAGAATCTGTACTTCAGGACGTTACCACCATGTTGACACTAGAATCTGTACTTCAGGACGTTACCACCATGTTGACACTAGAATCTGTACTTCAGGACGTTACCACCATGTTGACACTAGAATCTGTACTTCAGGACGTTACCACCATGTTGACACTAGAATCTGTACTTCAGGACGTTACCACCATGTTGACACTAGAATCTGTACTTCAGGACGTTACCACCATGTTGACACTAGAATCTGTACTTCAGGACGTTACCACCATGTTGACACTAGAATCTGTACTTCAGGACGTTACCACCATGTTGACACTAGAATCTGTACTTCAGGACGTTACCACCATGTTGACACTAGAATCTGTACTTCAGGACGTTACCACCATGTTGACACTAGAATCTGTACTTCAGGACGTTACCACCATGTTGACACTAGAATCTGTACTTCAGGACGTTACCACCATGTTGACACTAGAATCTGTACTTCAGGACGTTACCACCATGTTGACACTAGAATCTGTACTTCAGGACGTTACCACCATGTTGACACTAGAATCTGTACTTCAGGACGTTACCACCATGTTGACACTAGAATCTGTACTTCAGGACGTTACCACCATGTTGACACTAGAATCTGTACTTCAGGACGTTACCACCATGTTGACACTAGAATCTGTACTTCAGGACGTTACCACCATGTTGACACTAGAATCTGTACTTCAGGACGTTACCACCATGTTGACACTAGAATCTGTACTTCAGGACGTTACCACCATGTTGACACTAGAATCTGTACTTCAGGACGTTACCACCATGTTGACACTAGAATCTGTACTTCAGGACGTTACCACCATGTTGACACTAGAATCTGTACTTCATGACGTTACCACCATGTTGACACTAGAATCTGTACTTCATGACGTAACCACCATGTTTACATTAGAAACTGTACTTCAGGGCGTTACCGCCATGTTGACTGTAGAATCTGTACTTCAGGACATTACCACCATGTTTACATTAGAATCTGTACTTCAGGACGTTACCACCATGTTGACACTAGAATCTGTACTTCAGGACGTTACCACCATGTTGACACTAGAATCTGTACTTCATGACGTTACCACCATGTTGACACTAGAATCTGTACTTCATGACGTAACCACCATGTTTACATTAGAAACTGTACTTCAGGGCGTTACCGCCATGTTGACTGTAGAATCTGTACTTCAGGACATTACCACCATGTTTACATTAGAATATGTACTTCAGGACGTTACCACCAAGTTGACACTAGAATCTGTACTTCGGGACATTACCTCCATGTTTACATTAGAATCTTTACTTCAGGACGTTACCACCATGTTGACTCTAGAATCTGTACTTCATGACGTAACTACCATGTTTACATTAGAATCTGTACTTCAGGACGTAACCACCATGTTTACATTAGAATCTATACTGCAGGAAGTTACCGCCATGTTGACAGTAGAATCTGTACTTCAGGACATTACCACCATGTTTACATTAGAATCTGTCCTTCAGGACGTTACCACCATGTTGACACTAGAATCTGTACTTCATGACGTAACCACAATGTTTACATTAGAATCTGTACTTCAGGACGTTACCGCCATGTTGACAGTAGAATCTGTACTTCAGGACATTACCACCATGTTTACATTAGAATCTGTACTTCAGGACGTTACCACTATGTTGACTCTAGAATCTGTACTTCAGGACGTAACCACCATGTTTACATTAGAATCTGTACTTCAGGACGTTCCCACCATGTTGACACTAGAATCTGTTGTTGACAGTAGAATCTGTACTTCAGGACATGTTACCGCCATGTTGACACTAGAATCTGTACTTCAGGACGTTACCACCATGTTGACACTAGAATCTGTACTTCAGGACGTAACATAAAATACCACCATGTTGACACTAGAATCTGTACTTCATGACGTAACCACCATGTTTACATTAGAATCTGTACTTCAGGGCGTTACCGCCATGTTGACAGTAGAATCTGTACTTCAGGACATTACCACCATGTTTACATTAGAATCTGTACTTCAGGGCGTTACCGCCATGTTGACAGTAGAATCTGTACTTCAGGACATTACCACCATGTTTACATTAGAGTCTGTACTTCAGGACGTTACCACCATGTTGACACTAGAATCTGTACTTCAGGACGTAACCACTATGTTTACAGTAGAATCTATACTGCAGGACGTTACCGCCATGTTGACACTAGAATCTGTACTGCAGGACGTTACCACCATGTTGACAGTAGAATCTGTACTTCAGGACATTACAACCATGTTTACATTAGAATCTGTACTTCATGACGTTACCACCATGTTGACACTAGAATCTGTACTACAGGAGGTTACCGCCATGTTGACACTAGAATCTGTACTTCAGGACATTACAACCATGTTTACATTAGAATCTGTACTTCAGGACGTTACCACCGTGTTGACACTAGAATCTTTACTTCAGGGCGTTACCGCCATGTTGACACTAGAATCTGTACTTCAGGACGTTTTAACCACCATGTTTACATTAGAATCTATACTGCAGGACGTTACCACCATGTTGACACAAGAATCTTTACTTCAGGGCGTTACCGCCATGTTGACAGTAGAATCTGTACTTCAGGACATTACCACCATGTTTACATTAGAATCTGTACTTCAGGACGTTACCACCATGTTGACACTAGAATCTGTACTTCAGGACGTAATCGCCATGTTGACACTAGAATCTGTACTTCAGGACGTTACCACCATGTTGACACTAGAATCTGTACTTCAGGACGTTACCACCATGTTGACACTAGAATCTGTACTTCAGGACGTTACCACCATGTTGACACTAGAATCTGTACTTCAGGACGTTACCACCATGTTGACACTAGAATCTGTACTTCAGGACGTTACCACCATGTTGACACTAGAATCTGTACTTCAGGACGTTACCACCATGTTGACACTAGAATCTGTACTTCAGGACGTTACCACC